TCTTTACTATGGCACGAGGGAAAGATGTTTACAGTGGATTAACGCGTAGCAGTTGCTAAGTGTTAGCCACAAGCATTCCACAAGGTGGACATTAGATTATAGACGGGCGCTACGGTAACCCGATACGTTTTCGTAAGCATGGAACAGAGTCAGTTGATTCTTACAGGTAGCAGAAAATCCTGGATCAAGGTGAGCTTTGGCAGGGTTATTGCAGCTTTCGAATCGACAGCTGTCTCGCAAAATACCAAACTTACCTTCTTCTCTTGCTTCTCATTGGGATCAGGTTCTTCGAAGTTCAGAGCGAGATTGGCATTTGTCTCACCCTGGTCGTTTCGAAGGTTGCAGCGATACTGGCCAGCATCAGAAGCGGACGGACCCTGAAAGCGGAATAAATGGTTCCAATATCATAATATTATACGTTCAGAAAGCGAGGATGCATACAGTACCCCTCAAAACTGCGCGTGACATCAAATGTGTCCGAGGTGAGGCACAGAACAGGGGTGATGTATGACTACATCGCTGGCTCAAACCCCGGTGTGGGACATGGTATCCCGCAGCCCGAGCGTGGTAGCACCTATCGTACCACGACCTAGGCGGATCGCTCCACGGGTGGTAACCCTCACTCCCGAGCTTCCTTCCCACTTAGGTCGCAGGCAGTGCTGAAACATACATCAGCCCGGTCGTGCGCAAGACGTATAACACAGGCTACTGAATGTTCTTCAAACTTGGGTAACTAGACCGGGTTACAGTATGACCGATTGTGTGCGTTCACTGCGCGACATAACTTGATTTCACGCGCAATTTCCAAGCGTACTGTACGCACCCTGACTTCCTGAACTTTTACCTTGTTCTGATTTCACAGCCCTCGAAAGAATGGAACTAACCCTGATTTCCAGCTGACATAAATATGTTTGATCACCAAGGTCGACAAAAATGGCATGGTAGAGGCCGCCCATCTGCAGTGGCACGCCGTCTTTCAACCATCTGCACGAAAAGTACAATCAGAGGTGAAAAAGAACTCTACATAAGAAATGTTTCGTACTTGGCCACTGGTGGTGTGGGACTTTTTACTTTGCATTCCATCACTATTAAAGCTCCACCGTCTTTTGGGATAATTCGTGGCTTTCCGACGAACGATGGTCCTTTGGACTTGTTCTCATCGCCACCTCCTACAAGTGAAGCTATAGCTCGGCCTCAAGACTGTGCCAGTAATGACTCACCTGCAAAATTCAAGTTGATGTTGGCGTTTGATTCGCCCAACTGGTTCCTTGCTGTACATTTGTACGCTCCACCATCTCCTGCATTCGGCTCCTGCAAAGGAGTGTCTTCAGCTTTATTCAGCATGCGACTATCAGGAGAGACCCAATTTTCAAGCAAATTCACAAAAGTGCGGTAGTCAAACATTTCAACGGAATGTTTATTGGAGCACTTTTTTATGATGCTATCACTGAGATTCTTAACAAAAATACTGACAGGACCATGTTATGATGTTAAATTTATGAGATTCTCTCCCTATTGCTTTGAGAATTTATTCTTCCACTTGAGAGTCCAAAGTTAGAAGTCAGGTATGGAGAAATTTTTTCAGGTCGTACAGCACGACTGCCTCATAAGTAGGTAGTTTCCGGGCGCGAAGAGGTGGGGTGACAGGTACGGAGCAGTAGCTGTGTGGTCCCCCTCCAATGCGAAAAAGCGCGGCAATCACGCCGAAGGGTTGTGACTGCTTAACTTTTTGTGTACCCGCCTGTAACTAATTACGGGATACGCATCACGCTACGCCATACGGACAGCCGAACACCCGACGATAGCCACACGACTGCCTGCGTTGGGAGGCTTTGAAAAGTTACCGCGGTCCTGTCCACTTGCGACAGGAAGCATTCACCTCTCGAGTACTCCTGCAGAGTGCTTTGAGGACTACACTCATTATGATCAATCCTTTTACCTTCCACAAAATAAGCTTTCTCACGAAAAGAGCTCTATGGCAGGGAGACACTTTCTATTGTACGATAAAGGAGGCCATGACTCCTACTGCCCCACACAAACTCCACCCAATTTATGAACTCCGCCTAGCTCCTCTGCTAAACGCAGCGACCCATCACAGCGACCCATCAAAGTGCTCTTTCTTTTTGCGCCAACAAGGTTACAGGTGAAAAATTTTCGAGCTGGCGAGTAATTTGTCGTCAGTTTCAAATTCCAATATGACCAGTACATTGAGACGTGTCAAGTAGTGGCTTTTGCACTAGAACTTCTTGGAGCTTCCTCAAGAGGTGACCAGTAAGCTAATCGATGCCGACGGTGATCGGAAATCTCCCTTTGTTTGCCTCAGGAACTCAGCAGCTGATTCCATGAGCTGTCCCAACAGGTCTTATCAAACTAGTCAATTTTCATTGAAAAGCAGTGGTAAGCTGAATTAAACCAACATTTCAATTTCGTTCACCCGGAGTCCGAAGACATTCTTGTGAGGCAGCTGCGCGATGTCCGAGACAGACGATCACTTTTGTGATTGTCGCGGCTGGGGCAAACGACCTGCTCTGCGGCCTAACACTGATGAAATAGCTTTTTATTGGCAGATTTGTACGGGAATTTTTGGTTTTTGCAAGTTCATTTTGAAACAACTGAGATAGGGGAGAATCGAATGTGCGGAACTTGAATGAAACAAAGTAATTTTTTTGGTTGAACTCTTTGAGATGAGCGCTGCATTCAGCGTCAATTTTCGAAGAATATCTAACACATGTGATACTATGCTTCAGGTCCGAGTAACTTGCGAGACGCATCCTCGCTTAAATCTGGGTTTTGCACTCCACTGATTTTTTTGATGTAACTCTGACGGATTTTACCACCTCAACCCATGACTTTGGCATTTCTAACCTATGCGATATCACCGCTTTCAGATAGGGAAGAAGCATGTCAAAACTTATGTTTTCGGGAGATCAGTGGATTTATGACTTAAAGTAGTGTCAGACTCCATCAGCAAGACCATTGCTCTGTCCTGGGAGGGACTCACCCCTCATGAAAGACTTTGGCTGCCCCCCCCCTTCATTGCTGCGCATTTAGTATTAGGTTGTCCGGAAAGTTCTTAGCGTTTTGGGTGTTTAACTTTAAACGATCATAACTTTCTTAACACTCATCGGATTTAATCCAAATAAGCACCATTCGAATCAGCACACTTTTGCCAATGTGGCAGCAGTCGAGAAATCCCATCAAAAGAAAAAACTGGGTGGTCGAGAATCCACGAAATCTGCGAAGGTCTTTTTTGCCTGGTCCTGTTTGATGAAGTATTTCTCAGCAGGAAAGTTCTGAAAATGTCTGAAAAGGTGACAGTCGGTTGGTGAAAGGTCTAGAGAATATGGTGGGTGAGGTAGAACTTCAACTCCCAATTCGTTCAATTTATGGATAGTGATTTGTGAAACGTGTGGGCGGGCGTTGTCATGCAAAAGAATCGGACCCTTTCTTTTGATAAGTTTGGCTGCAGCTGACAATATTTTCGGTACATTTGGTCGGTTTGTTCACAGTAGGGTTCTGCTGTGATGGTTTGGCCTGGTGATGAAAAGTTATAGTGGATTACAACAGCCGATGACCACCAAACCTGACCAGAATTTTTTTCGCGAGGGTTCGGCTTTGAAAATTACCTCGGTGGTTCCTCCAAATCCAACCCTGACGTAAAGTCTCTGTTATCATCAGATCATTTTTCATTACAGTGACAATCGTTCAACAACGGGTAATTTTTTGCGCAAAGCAGTGAAGAAGAATCGAGACGTGCCGATTTCCGCCGGTCTCTTCGATGTGGGCACCATTGTCGAGTTTTTTCACTTCCACTGCGTCCAGTCAGACATCTGCGCAGTGGATTTGCCAAGGCCTAGCTCTTCTGCTATCTCTCGAACTGTTTGGGATGGGTCAACCTTCAAAATCCCCCTAAAATCCTCGTCAGATATTGCTTTAGGTCGACCGCTATGAGGCTCACCTTCAAGGCTGAAATTTCCAGAACGAATTTGTTGAGCCATTGCCGCACAGTGCTTTCTCTAGCACTATTGGGCCTCCACACCTGGTTAATTTGTTGAGCTGTTTCGATTGCGGATTGCCCCAATTTATAGTCGAAGAAAAAATCGTCCGAAGTGCTCTTTTCACATGCTTGAAAAAATCTTGAAAAAGAGGGTTTATCAAGCAATGGTGAAACGGCAATTATACCATCAGATAGCGCAAGAAATTCTCTACAGGATGTGCTACTGAGAAGCAAGGCAGAATGAGTTTTTAATCAGCAGTGATGTACAAAGATTCAGGTGCAGCACCCTAAGGAACTTTCCGGAAATACCTAATATTTAGTTTTAGAATGACTGACGTTGACTCGACTCGGCCTTATTTGCATAGTCTTCTATGACATGAGAAAGAAAAAACAAATAAAGGAGTGACCATGGCTCGTGAATAAAGGACAACGGCAAGAAAATGAATTCTAACGATCAGTTATACCACTTATTAGAAAGACAATCGACCCTTCGATTGGGACCTGTTACTCACAAGACAATTTGATGGTGCTACACTACGTCAATAATCATAGTTCCAGCAAGAAACTTATTCTTTCAAGTAATTTTTGGTGTCGCCATGTCAATGGCATTGGAATGCCACATTCTTCTAGTTTGAGGATTTTGAAACGTAGTGTAAGATGAAGTTTGTCAATTCCTAGAAATATCATTGATGGTGGCGTCAGTGTATTTCGCGAGCGTAGCACGAATCAAATTGAAGTCGCGTAGCCAAAGAAATGGCAGTAAGGCATTCTACGTCGCAAACTATCTAGAAATGAAATTCTTACTCTCCTTGTTACAAAAATATTCTGTTGACGATTGGAATGACAAGAGCTCTACGGCATTGGAGGGGGGGCGGGGAAAGGTAAGGTGGGTGTATACAGACACTAAAATGCATGGGAGCTCAGAAGTTCGTGATTCATCTAATGACATTATGGCAACTAATATGCGTTAGAGGGTTGAACTATTTGCATGACATCTACAGTCGCCAAAAATTGGAACAACCAAGCCGCGCCATCTTCAGAAGTTTTACATTCCGATTTTTGAATGCACATGAAAACTTTGGGGGCATGCAAGTAGGACTTAAGATGCTATTACGAAAAATAAAGTTGGTTGATTAAATTCATTACCGGGTCAGAATTTTAAATTTTATTACGGAGCGGCACGCCTCCGCCACTTTGATATTGGACCGGTTTTCAAAGTTTCTAATGCTTGGAAACAACCTGAACCTGGCTCTCTCGAGAGTTGTAGAAAAGGAAATAGAGGAAGAGAGCGAACAGTCAGAGAGGTGAGATCTTTCTTCCGATGAATCGCAAAACATTAGAAGCTTTGAAACGAGATCCTCAGATTGGCAGGCGGCATGCCCATCGCAACACTCTCCAAATTCTGCCTGGCAGCGAATCTAAATCGACAACTTTATCTTTGGATAACATTTTAAGGGTAGCTTGTTGATAGCGAAAAGAGTTTTTATGTGCAATTGAAAAACTGTATATAAAACTATTAGGAAGTGCGCGACTTGGGCTTGTCCCAAGTTTTTTTTTCCGCGACTGTATGTGAGAACCAGGTTCTTGAAACCTTCTTCTCAATATTACCTGGAGAGATTTTGATTTTAACATCTTTGGCTAATTTTGTTCGCATTTGAATTTCCTCCTTGATTCCCTCAAGGCTTCTACGGTTGCCTTAGAACAAATCGAAGAATTTTTGCTGTAGCCCTCTATGCGACCTTTGCAAACTTGTACCATCTGATGACAAACATCACGACATATTTTCTTCTATATTCCTTCGAGATCTCTGCGATCGTTGTATGCATTCGCTACAGCTTCTAGACTGTTTCTCCAACCGCGCCTGTCTAGGTAGCATATGGAACGGTATCTACAGGCGATAAGTCCGCAGGTTTTCGACTACGTGACTTTCTCTCACAATGCTCCTACGGTCTATTCAAAACCATTCTTCAAATTTTGAATGTCGTGCGACGAGGGGTGGTAACATCTTCTGCAGCTATCTCACTATCAAGTAATGACACTACACGATACGTAGTACAACCTGCATCTCGGAGACGGAGAGCGCGTGACAGCGTATTTCGTTTGAACATGGCGTAGGTTGCGTTTTTCGTCGGCTGTTTCCACTTCAAAGAGCTGTCAACGTCCGTTTTGTGGCGAACAAAAAATGTTGTTACAATGCCCAAAGCGCATTTACCAAAGCCTTCACTACGTTCAAATGAGGTATACTCGAAATTCCTGAGATCGGGTAGGAGGGGCATTCGAACATTGTAAGGGACTGGTTACCTAGTGAACATTCCAGTCTGGAACAATGCATCCTCTGTTCTTATTGTACAGCAGGCACGAAACGATTGTGCGAGTGAAAATCGCATTCAGAAGCCGTAGACACCTAAGGGTAAGTTGAAACTGTCGGCCCCGCCATACCGATCTTAGGAAATCTAGAATTGGTAATGTACGATACCATACCCTCACTCTTTCATACAGTCATACAATGATACGGTCGAAATTCAGTACCAAGAGTGATCAGGAGGATGGATAGCCTGATCTATGATGTCTGCTCAACCAGTGATCGCTTAAGTGATCGATCAGAAACAAACTGTGAATTGGGTAATCGGAGACTAGACACATTACGTCACTGCTACTGACACCCGTTCCCTTGCGGCGATATACTGTGGGTTTTGGTCATGCCGCTAAACACACAGAGCTCACGTGAGCGAGAAGAATGCAATCGTTCGCTGCGCTCCTTTCACTCTAGAGGCTGAATACTATTCCTTACCTCCCTGTGATCCTGTATACTCGACAATCTGAGATGGTTAGCGTGCCCGATTTTTCAATTAAAACTGAAGGTTCTATGCTCTGTGAGATATTTTTCATCTTCGGAATTTGCTGTGATATCTCTGTCCAACATAGAACACGAATGACAGCTGTCCAGACGGAATATTGTCACCAGTACCATTCCCTGCCTGTTCCAATGCAGCCTATCTTTTACTCAGTGATAAAAGGAGTGTACAACGTCACCGATGGTTTCGCATCATGTACAATAAGCAGTACCATGGCTAAGCTCTTATGTACTTGTAAAACTTACTGCTGATGCGCGCAGTGTTGCATTCTAGTGTTGCTCCAATAAAATCCTGTATTTGGTGGGCAACGATTCCTATCATCAAAGCAGCCTAAGTATTTTCTGCCGAATGAGTAGAACTGCTTGTGTTTACTGCGCCACACTGTCACGCTTGTGAGTACAAGATAAACTGAAGCTCACGTAAATTGCTAGATGGTACCAGTTGTTAGAAATATGGATCCCATCTAATACACTTCCAATGTTTGAACTTCTATTGATCAGATAAACTGTGGAAATAACACCAAATTTTTGAGAAGGACGAAATTTCAGATGTGTTGAGGCAAAGACGGTCAACGGTTCAAATGATAATTTGAAGCACGATACGCGGGCCAGGGAGGAGTTCGTTGTTATCGGGTTGGAAATCGGAGTGTACGTGCCATTTGGCTCGCTCATGAAAAAAAAAGCAACGGAAAGAGTCGAAAATGCTTGAAATAAGGCTTTCCCTGTGTCGAGCAAAAGGCAAAAAAATCTATGCGGTTTACAGACAAGAGGCCAGACAAGTGCGGCAAGAGAACACGCAACGAGTAAGGCAACCGACAAGACACAACGTGGGCGGGGTCGCTGATTGCTTAGCGGATTTACCTGTACAACCTTATGCCTAACTGCCGCTACACTCTAGTTCGCTGCGGACGGTTGGGCGTGTCAGGCAGTATGAGTGTGTCACCCCGTCAAAGCCGTCTGCCTTCTTGTTGAAGCGCGCATGCGACAAAAAGTGGTAGAAAACGAGTAATACGAACGATATGATACAGTCATATCATTTGCTCGCTTTAACAACTGGTGGAACGGGTTTGGCACCGCGCCAAACTCATCCCGCCTGACACGCCCAACCGTCCGCAGCGAGCTACACTATACCTAACGATTTTCTGACACGAAACTTGTGCAGGGTTGTCCGTTGCGATTTCCACTATCATCCCCTTCAAGGAGCTGAGACACTTATAGTGATCTTGAATCGTTCCTTTTAAACAAAATAGAGGTAAACAGCAATATTACGGTCTCCATTTTGTTTCATGATAATAAGTTTCAAAAGGTATTGGTAAGCTGGAGCAGCAAAACGATAAGTTCAAGAAGTTTAGAGAACAAACGAACCTTTATAATGAGGTTTGCCTTGTACAGAATGCCCTCAAGAGGGCTGAGCACTTGTGTAACTCGAGCCGACGGCGATATGACGTTCCCGGCATGTTGCCAGGCGATCGTAGGTGGGGGATCCGCCTCCAGAAGACATTCCATCAACAGGTCACCCTGCAAATCTCATTGTATCACTACGTTAAGCTTTGAATAGTGGAGAAAGAGAAAAATGTAAAATTCAAAGCGAGGAATGGGAATACCATAGGGGTGGACCTTTGATCATATGTCTTGAAAGTAGGGTACGCAATTCCGTTGTGGTACGTTTTCGACGGTGATCTTGACTTTTTGCGATGGACACCAAAAATTTAACTACTAGTTATTCTATCACTATAATTTTAGTACTTACTTGTAAAGTAGCATGGCTAGCGGAATTTTGTGGCAGGTTGGTGACCGTTTATTGGTCACTTCCAAAGTTTCTGTCGAGCTCGAGCGTACCTTTTTGCTTTTTTCGCGATACAGTCGTCGCTTTACTTTTTTTTCTTTTTGTACTCTTTTCTGCTTTTTGGAATGATGTCAAGCAACTTCAGCCGGACATTCGCTGGTGTTGAGGGGTGTCTTTCACCAAATCCGACGCTTTTCATCGCACGCGGGCCGCATTACTTAGATTCAGCCGACTCGCCATCAAGATGGAAGTTAATGTCATGACAAATGTGCACCTTACGGCGTACAATTTCCTCCACGATGTGCGTCTCAGGGCACTTGTCAACCGGGAAGCCTCTCTTCTCTTTCCTTTTTTCTTCCTCGTTCCTTCTTTTCCTTCCTCCCCTTCTCTGATCCCTCCTCCTTTACCTTCTCCCTTGAACCGCTGGACTGGTAGATGCCTCGAGAAAATGCTCATGGACCCTCCCCTCAGGTTAACTCTTGCCGTGTGCAACCGCACGCAGCTACAGCTGTGGAAAATAATGGCACCATGAAGTAGGCTGTCGGTTACGTGACAACTTGAATCTTTCTGCGTGGTCCTATTGCGAAAGCGTGCGTGCATACACTCTGCCAACGGCAGCTGGCACGGTATCGAAAGGAGCGAAAGAACATGTTGTGCGAGCCGGAAGCCGAGCTTTTTCATGGGGAAGAGGGGACGAGGGAGCGCAGGAGAAAAACAGAAAAAGGCGAGGCGCAATCCAGAAATCAAGCTAGCGACAGAGTATTAGAAAGTGAAAGGAGCGTTGATTCAAGTCGTCTAATACAGACACTGGGTGAATCTAACTAGCTTGCTTCGCGTCGATGCCGCGTCTTCCGGGTGTTTGATGGTAAGCTCACCCCGTGTTTGGGGATTGAACACTGACCTGTGAGAGTTATGAAAAGTCTCAGTGCGAATTTAACTTATGTATCCAGCGGGTAACTTGCTTAAAGTAGCACGTATTGGATGGGCAAGTAATTCCATGTTGATATGCGCTTCCACTAGAAATGAATCAAGCTCCTGTGAAAAGGAATGCGACTCTTTCAGGGGGATTTTCTTCAGTTGGCAGTGAAAGCCTTGTTTTCTACTGGGTGCTTCGTTGCTGCGTTTTTTGCTCCAGCTGCTCGCAAGCGTGTAAAACACTGCGCTTAAGCTGAATCCGTCAGTTGAGTGGCGGTAGGTTGCTCGCTGCAGAAAAACCGTTTCCGCACGACGATGAGATCTCAAGGCACAAATCCTGAGACCTACCAAGTGCTTGAACCTGCATTTCCTTTTTGACTCGCTAATGGCAGTTGCGTAGCAATCATGTGCTTACGCCTTACCATAGGAAGACCGCGTTTTCTTCATCGGGGATGGGTGAAGTGGCGGTATCTTCGGGACCTCTCCAGAAGGAGTGTCCCCCTCTGGAACTCCTACAAAATTTTAAAATAAAGTGGGAGCTGGCAGGGTACATAGCGAGTAAACAGTTGTTGAGACTTCTCTCGAGGTCAAATAAGCCCCTCCCAATCGAATTAGCCCTGCGATGATCTATACTCGAAACCCCTGAGATCGGGTAGGCGGGGTATTTTCTCTTGTTCACTTATTTATTTATTCATTGTTTATGCACCCAGCGAATGGGCGAGGACGACGGCAATAGGCAGGCGGGCTACTTACGATCTCTCCGGAAGGGATGCCTTACGAAGCTCTTCTAAAATTTTGTCGCAGAGCGCGAGGTGGCGGGGTAAGCTAGGCTAAATACGCCATCCGCCCCTGACTGAAGTAGCTCAACGATGATGTTCTGTGTAGCAGGCAAGCAGATTCCGGTCAGAGTACATCATCGGGAGTGAGTGAAGTGACGGTTCATTCTCCAGAAGGAGCGTCTCAATACAGCCCCCTCTCACAACCAACCTGAGCCAGGCAACCCACGCAAGTCCGAACGCGATTTCTAACTTTATGTATCGGCTGTCTTGCAGCTTCTTGTGGCCGAACTCGTTCAAAACTCTTTACGAGTTTGCACAGATGTTAAGCGAGAGACATATGAATGTATTTACTGTCTAGTCTATGATCTCCTTTGGTGCTTATGTCCTGTAGTGAAAGACACTGATAGAGAGAAAATAAAGTACGTAACATCAGTGATAGACAGGAGTGCGAAGCAAGAAATTCTT